GCACGTGGCCAAAAACCGTCGAGCACGAAGATGAAAATTGACTGCCTTAAATATTCACCAACAGTTCAAGTATGGTTAAGGCCTTTCTTTAATTTTTTTTAACCAAATTTTTTACTTCTGTATTTTTGCCTTTTCTCGTCAACATTATCTCTTCGCTCCATACACTTACTTTTTATTCCATAGGTCAAATGCGGAGCTAGACACAACCTTTTGCAAGTAACTAGGTGATAGAAGTAAATACCACTTTGTACTGTTAATGAAGAGAGGGTCGTTAGAGTTTTTAAGTGTTGAAAAAATTTGCACCAACACTGCACAATCTCTATTTGTAATAGTGATTTTTGAAGAATGTGGTGAAAAAGTTTCAAAAATGCTACTTGTACACACTTGGTACACAATCTTACACAATCCTCTCACATATGTGTGGGGTCCACAATGGGCCCCACATTGTGGGATCCAGACACATGTGAGAAGGTTGTGTAGGAGATTGTGTACTAAAGTGTGTAAATGTAGCAAGGTTCAAAAAGTTTTTGGGTTTACGTGAAAAATATTTTTATTGAAAAAACGTGTGATTGAAGATGAGTGAGGAAAAATAAGGCCCCGTTCTCTTTGCTGTTTTGGGGTCGTTTTTTATTTTCGATTTTTTAAAACACTGAAAATGCGTTCTCTTTCTCGTTTTCAAAAACGATTTTTTGAAAACAAAACAAATTTGCCTAAAAACTCAAAATGTCAAAATAGACGTTTTGTATGTTTTCAAGCAAAACAAAGCAAAATTCTACTTTCTCATTAGAGAACCAGAAGAACCGCAACCGCCGCCTTCTTCCTCGACAATCGACCACCACCGATCACTAAGAACACCAGACCCCACTACCATTCGAACCCCCTCACCTTCATCTTCAACCTTTTGTCATCACTTGGCCATGAAGTTGCCTAAAACAATCTCAATCACCACCCAAAGCCACGCTACCAGTCACGATTTTCGCCATATTTCCACCGCCGTCGGCCACCGTTTCGATCGCAGACCACCACAACTCCACTCCTCTCAATCAAGCGCATCCAATACCACCATGGGTCACCTGCAATTTTGTCCAGTACCACCATGGGTCACCTGCAATTTATATTTATTTGATTCGCTAGGTATGGGGAAAATGCTTTTCGATTTTCTATTTTGATTAATAGGAGTCGAATAATGTTGTTGTCTGATTAGTGATTAATGGTTTGATTGGTATGCAGCTGGAAAGTCTTCCTTCCATGACTGATATTGTGAAAAAAAATTTGACTGTCTTGCAACCTTACCCCCTTCTTTCTAAGGTTTATCTTTCTCTCTGAATATCTGTTAAACTTTTGTTTAGAGTTGTATGTATTATGTATATGCTCTAAATAACACTAATCTTGTTTGGGTAGTTCTTGTTTGAATATTGAATCGAGCAAGTCGTAAGCTCGTTCCTGCATAATCTCGTACGTTGGAGTTGGAATTTCTTTGCACGCTGGTTATTTGATGTACTTAATATATGTGTTTTCTATAAATCTGGGAATTGGGTTTTATGTTTATGTACAGTTCTTTTAGTAATTGTCTATTTTCTTAACTTCATTTTTCCTCTTGGGATCATATGGGGTTCCTGTCATATTATTTTCTCACTGTTTTAGCTCTTTCTTTAGAAACTGAGGGTCTAATTTGGAAACTTTTCACGTGATAGACTTGAATCAATTCGAGTCATCTTATAAATATAGTATATAGAATCAAAGGTATATTATGGTTAAGATAAAAATCATAATTCCTAACAAAGTCTTGTCATTGGAATTCTTTTGTATCCTTGACCTATTGGATTCCGCCTTGTTCGTCGCAATTGTATTGAAATTCCAAAGGAAATATCATGCACAGTAAGACCTTCTTGTCTAGGTTCAAGCATGCTAAACAATTTGCAAAATTACTCGTGTGGGAAATGAATAAGGCTTGAAATTTGATGGCTCTCGATAAAGGCCATGAGCTCGTACTATTTAGTATCTGTCTCTAAACTATTCATATATCAAATTCTGTGATCAATCAGGTGGTTTGTATTACAGAACACACAATGTGATGTTATAGATGTCTTCCCAATAATAACTTTATTAGAAGTTTCGTAAAGTCCAGCAAATTTTAGTTATTAGTACCTCTACAAAATACTCAGTTATTTAAACCTATCTGTGAACTGAGACTAATTTTACACAGATCACTAGATTGTGAGCTTGCATTCAGTGATAACCATTTCTACTTCTTCTGCAATATTTCAATTCCAAATATTATTTACGAAATAATCTCCAAGATCTATGACTAATTTTGTTCAAGATTGCGGTGATAGCTTGGAGGTGGGGTCTTGGGAGGTGGGGGAATCAAAGGGGAGAAAGAAGAAGAATGGTGATGTTGAGGTGGAGACTGGGTGTTGGATTAAGTTGAGATATATTGGTAGCTGTATTTCTTCCAGATCAAAAGTTGATAGCTCACTTAGTTGATAGCTCTCTTTTCTTGACTCGAAACACAGGCATTTCCAAATTGATGTTATTTTATTTTTTTCAATCCAAATTTATATCTATATATCTTGCCAATATTTTGAATAAACTGATAAGATTCTCCAAGTCCCTGATTGTTAGCTTCTTTTCCCAGGTTATTTGGACGTAACCCTGTTTCTAGTTGTGCACTCGTGCATTCTCTCACCAAACAAGTGAACTTTGTTGAAAGCTTGAAAGTCACGCTTGAGCCATGTCAGATTCTAGCCGATCATGTGAGGGCATTACTTGAACAGGGAAATACACTAGATTGTGTGGATCAAAACATGGGAAATTACCCGGAAGACGAGGTTTTGCATGTTCTTAAATTGGCATTGGTTTGCACTTCTCAGGTACCTTCTAGTAGGCCATCCATGGCAGAAGTGGTGCAAACACTGCAAGTGATCAATACTCCAGTTCTACAGAGATTGGAAGGATTCTAATTACAAGTGATCTGTAATGGGGAAAAGTTTTTTGCTGATTTTTCATAATCAAATTGGATAAATTTTCGTTTACCCTCGTGAAAATTTTCTCGAATCTCGATTTCCTACATATGTTTTGTATTTATATATTTCATTATGTGTTAATATCTACAATGGAAGCAAAACAAAATAGGAAATGTGTGCACCAGACAAACTAATGATAGTNCCATGACAACATAAGTGCTCCCCTTTTTTGTAACTTGATTAGGGTTGGTTGTGATTAGATACTAGTTAATTCTTGTCACAAGTTACGTACAAAGACAAAAACAATGACTTGCCAAATTTAATTTAGGTTATATTTTTTATATATCGAAAAAAAATATTTTAAGATTCACCAATTTCATAATTTATATGTTATTTAAACCCCGTTTGGTAGGCACTATTGAGAAATAATGAATTAATTCTATCAACTCATGAACAGTAAAGGACAACCATGTCATGTCAGGGCATTGAAATATTATCCATACTTTTCGATTTTGCCCTCCTTGTTGATTGAATTAAAAATCACTTCCTTTCCATTAAACAATAGGGCTGGAACGTGTGCAAGGAATAAAAAGTTGACGTGAAAATAAATTTTTATCACCTAATATAATTCGTTTGACGTTATTTTTCATAGAAATTGCCAATAAAAGTGATAATTTTTGTACTCATTATGTCTACAATGTCATCCAATATGAGGAAAAAAAAATTCGTTAATGAACACAAACCCCCCCCCCCCCCCCCTTAAAAAATATTCGTGGATTACAAATTAATGATCGGACTTTATTTTCATTAAAACCATGATGATGTTTTGACGTAATGGTGCACTTGATTTTCACACAACGGAATGAAAAAAAGAACAACGAAACACCATTTCATTGTTGCCATGCTATATAATCGCGAAACATGTCACACTCACTTCGATGCATTTTCAAAGCGTTAATTTCCGCATGCATTTCATCTTCAGTGGTTGGTAGCTCCACCTCGAACGCATCCTCATCCGTTTCAGCTGTAGCGAACGCCTCATCCACGACTCCAGAACGACGTAGAAAATTATGAAACCCATTGTCTAACAACAACGGCAGTTTGAGTACGAAACGAATAGCTGGGCATTCGATCCAGGATTTGCCATCTTTCCTTCCAAACACCAAACGCACGTTTGATTACATTCCTGCAAGACGAGTGTTTGTAGTTAAACCGCTCACGAGCATTTCGAAAACGACGACGACCTGTTCTATCGTCACGAAACCCTTGAAAATGGTACAAGATATCTGATCCTTTGTAAGGTGCCATATATCCCGGTCAATGTGCAAACCCCGAGTCTACCAAATAATACTTTCCCGTTGCTGGTTCTGGGAAACAAATTTCTGGACTATGTATTGCGCGTGCCAGTATACGAGCGTCGTGCGTATTCTCGGTAAAGCCAGCAAGCACGAAAGTGATGCACAAATTAAAGTCACAAATCGCCAACACATTTTCCGTTGGCACTCCTTTTCGGCCAATGAAGTTCACCCGCTCATGACGCGAAAGCACAGCTTTCACATGTGTTCCATCTATTGCACCTATGCAATCTTCGAATAATGGATGTTTATTCGGATCTGGCCTGTGGGGATCTGCACCGTCGTTGTAGTTCGATCTTGACTGTATCATCCGAGCAGATAACGAAACGACCGCATGAAGAACCTCTTTGAAGTACTGACATATTGTTTGCA